GAAGGCAGTAAACATACCAGCTGAGTACACGGGAAAGGGAGGACTGGATGACCCAATAGGAGATGCCAGGAAAGGGTAGTGTGGTGCAGTGGTGTAGAAAGGCTGAATGCAAGTTCCCAAGATTAAGAACAGCATTCCACCCCTACCTGCCCCTCTCCCAATACCCAACTCACAAAGTACACAGCTCCAAAGCTGCCATGACCGATTTCCCGGAGATCAGAGAAGAGCTTTTCAGGATCATCCTTGAAGAAGAGCTCAGCCACATCAGGGTCCTTCAGGCTCCCGGCCCGACCCCCAGCTGGCATGGTGGCCCCTGGGGGCCCTGAGAGTGAGGCCTGGCCTGCAGAATACAGATAGGAGTATTAGAGCAAGACAGGATCTCAGGGAGAGGACGGGGGCCCTCAAGTTCCTGTCTTCTCCTTTCATTCACTGCTGAGGGGGAGGCACCGCTGAGGAAGGACAGGGGAGATTAGAAACATCAAAGCTCAAAAAAAAAAAAAAAAAAAAAAGAAGTTGCCTTGGCAACCAGATCACGGGGGCCAGGTCCCTGGAGTCCCTAAAACTGCTAGGAAGACTCTAGGAAGCTAAGCATCCTTACCAATCCCCGCCTTCAACAAGTTCCCATTTCCCTACAAACCCTATTTCTTTCCTCAGGAGAAATGGTTCTGCCTCCTTGCCATAACTCCAGATCCCCATGTGTTTTTTCCCCAAAGTCTCATTCCTCAATGATTCCCAGGCAACTTCCTGTTCCCCTTGGTGCTGAGGCCCCATCTTCTCTCAACCTCCCACACTGTGCGAGAACAGGAAAGGGCCAGGCCGGAGGTGCTGGAAATCCGGCCATTGTTGTAAGTGGGTACTGGCCTGGAGGGGGCCAGAAGACTCACTCTCAAAAGGATAGGGACACTGTGGCAGGGAGATCCAGAATGGGAAGGATCATAATTATAAATGGAAAGGCATCTGGCTTTGAGTGCCTCTCTCCGATCTGGACTGCTTTACTTGTCCAGTTCAATTGTATAAGCACCACACACACCTGGGACATTTGCAGAGTATAAACAATATGCACTCACCATGGATAGTAACATCTCACATGGACCACACCTGCCATTCGATCCTCAGCACAACCTTAGGAGGCATGTACTATCATTACCCCTGTTCTACAGATGAGGAAAATAGGCTCAGAAAGGTTAAATGACTTGCTCAGAGCTGGCTCATCTCCACCATGATTTCAGAATAGCTCTATGAATCCAGTAGGGGAAGAGTAGGATCACTATTTCCCAGATGCAGTCACTGAGGCAGAGAGGAAAAAGAACTCCAAGGTCAGAGATCAGGAGCTTCTTTCTTCTCCCTAGTCAGGCCTGCATGCTCAGCCCCTCCTGCAGGAAGCCTTCCCTGCCCACTCCAGCCCTCGTAAGGTACCACCCAGCCAGATGCCCAGATGAAGTTCCTGCAGAGTAATAGAACCAGGACCTTCAAGAAATTCCAAGACAGATTTCCAGTTAAGCACTTGTCAGAATACAGGCACAAAGGAACTTCAGCAGAGCTGGACTCCCCGGGCAGAGTTCTACTTACTTCAAAGCACCTAACAATTTTAGCATGTAATTATATTCTGCCACACATTGTTTCCTGTTGTGTTGTTAATTTTGTCTCATCCCAACTGGAAGCTGGGGGACGAGAAGGGAGCCTGACTCTCTAGTGGGCCCCAAGAGTGTGAAGGGCTCAAAATAGCCTGGGAGATTGATTGATTGCCCTTAGCCCAGCCCTCAGCAGCACCTAGGCTGCTCAAAGCAGGGCCTTTTCTCTCTTCTAAGCCAGCAATGGTGCCAAGCACCCCTCACCCGCACCACACACCCACACACAAAGGCAGGTGCTCACAACATGCCAAGGGAATCTTTCTGACCTCTTTACCAGCACTGAGCCCAAAATCACTAGTCCAACACTCGAACCCACATGAAAGGGGTGCCAGGAATTTGCAGTTCATTACACAGGTCCCCTCTCTCACAATACAAACACTTGAAAATTACCAAGGCCTGTGTGCTAAATCATAACCACCTTCTAAACTAATAATGTTATCCCAATTCTGCAGATGAGGAAATATGTCCCTCAACTGTAAGTAGTACATCCCATCTGCAATGCACAGCAACAGGGATTTAAGTCCCTACTACTTCCTGATCACTTTGGTTAAACAGATTACAGCATGGGGCTGTTGTGAGATTTTTTTTTTTTTTGGTACCAGGGATCGAACTCATGACCTCACACTTGCCAGGCGAGCACTTACACTGCTGAGCTAAATCCCTGGCCCTGTTGTGAGATTTTAATGAGATCTCACACTTAGGAACATTCTGTAGACACTCACCATAGGTTATTTTTTTTTTTCCTTTCCTGCTTTCAGGGTTGCCACAGAGCTTTAATTTTTGAATAACTCTCCCAACCCCCTAATAGCTTGCCTTTGACCTAATAGAAAGCACTATGGCCATCATTTATCAGAGCCCTTTCAGGAATCCAGGCAAAGTCTGGGATCAGGATAAAGATGAAGGTCACAGTGGAAAAGAAAAATCCATAAGGGAGAGACGGAAGCCAGAGCCTCCCATCAGGACAAGCTCTTGAGTATAGCCCTCCTAGAAAGGAAACTCACTTTACACTCATTGCCATTTTTAAATTTCACCGTAACTCATTCTCCTACGGGCCCCTGTCCAAATCCAGGGCCAGGGGAGGAAAAAAAGCAAAAACGTAAGGATCTGGGCCAAGACTTGGTGGGGAACTTGTGTTAAAATCCAGATTCTGCCACTGTGTGACCTTGGGTAACCTTTCTGGGCCTCAATGTTCTCAACTGTAAAATGGGAAGACAGCACTAAAAGAGCTCCCAAAAGGTGAATGGACGATGTCACATGAGATAATGTACATGAAAGTACTTTTTAAGGGACAGATCCCCTGACAGTTTATGAGATTATTTATACCATCAAAGCAAGAGTTAGTAACTAGCTGAGGGAAAACACTGCTAAGCACCCCACTTCACACACACTTTCTTGCAAGATTAGAAATCCAACCAGACCAAGTTTCAAAAGCAGATAAGCAGACCCACCATGGCAACCAGAGGCATGGGAATCAACAGCCCTGACAGGAAAAAGGGAAAATCATGGAGAAGAGGTGCCTGTGAAGGACAGTGAACAGGGGAGAAGATCGAAGGGTTGCTCTGATTAGCTCAAACACCCTAGGGTGTGACCCCGGGTGACATCTGAGACCCTGTCATCTGAAGTCTCCCATCAACCAGACACAATGGAGGGAAGAGGAAGGGGAAGAGGGTGGCAACAGAAAGCAAAGCTAGCTAGAGGATGACCACGGCTCAGCTGGGCTTTCCCAACCTGAGGAGAGCGCCTACCCAGGCACAGCACTGAAGGGAGCAGCCTTTCTTTTCAGTGTTAAGACACAGGGACCCGCGCCCCTGCACCCCGTGTCTCACCTGGTAGGGGTCACTATAGTGCCCCAGCGCCTCCGCTTCCGCCTGGGGTCCTCCAGCGGTTCTCCCAAGCAGGGCGAGGGGCAAGGAGACCTTTCCCCTTGCCACCTCTTCCTCGGCTTTCGCCCTTCCTGAGGGGCGGACCCGGGAAACCTCCCCTGGAGGGGAGGGGGTGACAACCTGACCTGACCTCGCGGTCCAGTCCTTCTCCAATTCGAGGGCGGTCCCGGATTTCTGATTCTGGGGTATGAACCCAGTGTATTTGCAAGGGGACAAAATGAATCCGATATCTGAACGGTTGGGGAATGAACCCCGGACACTGAGGCACGCAGGGGCCTGAACCCCAGATATTTGAAATTCTATAAAACAGAGACCCAGGTTTAAAAGAGGTTGGAATCTGAGTCCCGGGTATCTGAAATAGGAGAGCTGATACCTGAGTATCTGGGAAGCGAGGGGCCAAATCTGGAGATTTGGGACTTATGGGCCTGAGTCCCAGGTCTTCGGCCACCGGCAGGGGGCCCACCCCGAGGACGTCCGGCCGCACGGCCCCTCTCACCCCAGGATCCGAGGTTGACAGCCCCCACTCCCGCCTTAGCCTCCTCCCTTTCCCCTCTTCTCTCCTGAGGGTGGACGAAAGACTGCAGCTAAGGCGACGCAGATGCTCCCCGTGCCCTCTCCCCTGTCTTCTCCGTCTCAGCCTCTCTCCGCACCACAGCCCCTCTCTCGTCCCGACCTCCCTCTCCCTCTTCCTCCCAATTCCAAGATGGAGACCGGACGGGAGCGCGCAGGCGCAATGGGGACGCCGGGCCGAAGGGGCGGGGCCCTAAAGGAAACAGCCCCGCCCCTCCTCCCTCGCTGTTGCGGCCCGGGAGACAAGCAGCCACTGAGACCCAGTGCGCGCGCGCTCCGCCACGCGGACCCTGGGTGGGAGGAGACGGGGAGAAGATAGGCTTGTAGTGGGAGGAACCCAGTGCGTCTGCTAACGACTGGCAGTAGAAAGCGCTGCTGCGCACGCGCTTGCCCCGCCTTCGCTCCATGCCCGAGCCTGTTGCTAGGGGAAGCTTTGATAGGGTGCGGGTGGAAGTAAAAAAACCGCGATCTACGCCTGCGTGAAGGGTATATGCTGGGAGCCGCAACAGAAGGCAGCTGCTGAGCATAGAAAAGGCGGGAAAACGGACCGCTGTGATAGTAACTATCCAACCTTGACCTAGGCCCTCAAGTGCGAGTAGCTTTACAAGTCAATGTTGGGAAAACCTAATTGGTTAAATTCCTTAAGGAAACTGAGGCCCTGTAGAGTTACATGACTTGCTCAAGGTCATAGTGCACTTATGAAAAGACATTTCCTTGATTTGACGTTCCCCCACCCCTGCAAAAAAAAAAAAAAAAAAGAAAAAGAAAAAAAACCTAGCTGGAGGCTGGGGATTTAGCTGGGGATTTGGCATAAATGCCTGCCTGGCAAGCGAGATATCATGAGTTTGATCCCCCCCCCCCCCGTATCAAAAAACAAACAAACAAAACCCAAAAACAAAATATCCCCAACAAAACCTGGTTGGAATTATCAATTTTATTTCGTGGAAGGAGACAACACAAAATGTAGATCTGTCAGGCAAGGTGGCAGCACTCTTGAAATCCCACACTTGTAATCTCCGAGAGCATGGGACAGGGATTCCAGGTTCCAGCCCCATCTGGGCAATTTAGTGACTCCTTTCCATCCCAGGCTAAGAAGGGTCCATGGGTTGTCTCAAATAAAACGATCTGGAGATGTAGCTTGGTGTGAAGGCTCTGAATTCAATCTCCAGTTAAAAAAAAAAAAAAAAGCTGAGATCAAATCCAAGTATTTTCCAAAGTCAAGTCACAATTATGGAAAGAGCTATAGTAACCTAAACCCTGTGTCAACCTGTACCCCAAACTAAAGTCAACAAGAAAAAATCCCCCAAACCTCTTAAACCTGTCTAAACACATTAGAACTCAATCCAAGACCCAAAAACATTTTAGGCAATACTGGACAAAAAGTCTTATTTTTCCCCATATTCCAGCACTTCATTTTTTGTAACATTTCTTCCATCTCAGAGCCAAGGTCCAAGAAGTTGATTCACACCTAAAGGAAAAAAAAAAAAAGGTCAGGGAGCTCCTTAGGGAAGCTCCAGGAGGAGTGAACAGGGAGTGGCCATAGAGAAAGGTAAGGTATTTCACCTCACTGAGGTGGCTGTAGGACCCTAGGATCTGCGAGGGGCCAGAAAGCCTTCTTCTCAGTCCCAGGCGGAGAGGACTCCATCACTTCCTGTCTCAGTAAGGCGACTGGGTCAGTGAATCCTAGCCTTGAGCAAACCAGCAAAATTGAACTAGAGCTTCTAGTTCCTCTGGCCTGAGCAGTTTCTTAGACTTACTCTGTTTCCACTTTTCCCACACTAATTCCCTAAGAAATAGTGGCCTTCTGATGTCGACACTGAGTGTTTTAAGTACTGATGCCTAACACAGGGCTCTCAGTTTTAAGTCACCCACTTGACACAGTGAAGATTTTTTGCAAAAATATTTAATATTTTTTCTTTGATGAGTTGACATGTGAACTTGTTAGGCAAGATCTCCACCTCCTGCTACTTTTTCAAAACTAATTCCTTTCAAAGATCTTATTGACAGAATTTTTGTATGCTTGCAGTACTGGGGACTGAACCTAGGGCCTCCCACTGAGCTATGTCCCCAGGCCTTATTTATTTATTTATTTTTGTGAAACAGTATCTCTCTGTATCCCAGGCCTCAAACTCATGGCAATCCTCCTGCCTCAGCCCGAGTGCTGGGATCACAAGTGCATATCACCTCAACTGGCCCATTTATTTTGAAACGAGGTCTTGCTCAGTTGCTCAGGCTAGATTCAAACTTGCAATTTTCCTCAATCTCCAGAATAGCTGAGACTACAGATTTAGAATAATTTTTTTAATGCAATGATGACTAAATGGAAGCGTGCATGCAAAGTGCTTGAGTACACAATACTGTATATGCCCAGTAAAAGTGAAATTATTAATTGGATTCTTCTGAACTGTTCAAGTTGAATTTTACAAAATCTTCTTGATACCACTAATCAGTATTTCAGGACACTCGTTTTCTTTGCCATCTTTCCTTTTGACTGCCAGCTGCTGGCTGCCATGAAGGTCAAGCTATGCAGTTTTAGCGGGTATAAAGTGTACCTAGGACACAGAGGTGCTATGCCAGGACCCATGGGAAGGTTTCCCAGTTTCTTAATGCAAAATTCGACTCTATGTTCCTTTCCAAGAGGAATCCTCAGCAATTAAATAGGAATATCTTCTACAGAAGAAAGCACAAAAAGGGACAGTCAGAAGAAATTCAAAAGAAAAAAACAGGAGCAGTGAAATTCCAGAGGACATCTCTTGCTGATATAATAGCCAAGTAGAATCAGAAACCAGAAGTTAAAAAAGCCCAAAGACAGCAAGCACTCAGGGCTGCCAAGGAAGCAAGAAAGCATCTAAAAAGATAGCAATGATTACTGCTAAGGCTCCCACTAAGCAAAAGATCATAAAGTTTCTGCTTCCCAAGTTGATGGAAAACACTGAATTGACAGATCAAATTTTTAAAAATAATTATAAAAAAAATTCTAAAAGAAAGAAAGAAAAGGAAAGGAAAAGACAGAAAAAGAATTTCAGGACAAAAGCAAGACAAACATGATTCATATCCAGGACCAATCATCGAACTTTAACCCTCCTAACTCACTATTGTTGCCAAAAAGCATGGATGTGAATTATAGCTATGAGTCTTAAAATCAGAATTATAGCTATTTGAGTCTTAAAATCAGAATGTTACTTGAAATAAATGAGTCACAAGAGAATACAGCTGCCTACAGTGGTGCACACCTAGATCCTAGCTACTAAAGAGGCTAAAGCAGGAGGACCACTACGAGTTGGAGGCTGGCCTGAACTACATAGTAAGATTCTGTCTCAAAAAAAAAAAAAAAAAAGAAAAGAAAAAGAAAGGAAGAAAGAAAAGAAAAGAAAGACGCTGTATAACATTTACTTCCAGGGAGAGAAGGTACATTCAGGAAGGAAGGGACCATAGGCTTCTGAGTAGTTGTTAGTACTTCACTTCTTTCCCTGGGTGATATTTACAAGGATTTATAATAATTTGCCAGTTTGCACATTTATTTTTTTGGACTTTTCTTCATGAATGTTAACTATTTTGTAAAAACAAGAAAACTGTTACATGCTTATGATATAAATTGTTCCTAGTTCCTATAGGGACAAATATCAGTCAGCCAGCAGGGTTCTTCAGAGAGTCACAAGCAGCAGCATTTGAGGATGGATTTCAAGTGTCTGATCTGTGCTAGTTATACTACTACTGCACCCCTCCATGGGACTAAGGCAAAGAACCTCACCTGAGAACAAGGCAGGACTTGGCTGTCACCCTCAGAGCCGGGTTCTGGACCAGTGGGACTCCCAGCGGCGTGGTAGGAAGCATGAAGCAGAGACACAGCACAGAAGGCCACAAAAGAGGAGCAGGAAAGAGCCCAAGACCAGCAGCCTGGAGCCACACAGTGCCAGCTCCTCCTGGGGATGAGCAGAGGGAGAGAAAGGAGTGTGATGGAAGGGGGAAGGTGGGATCTTCCCTTGCCCTCAATCCAACAGCATCTCAACAGCAGCTAACGGGAAAATATTATTTTCATACAAGTTAACATCTGTCTCCATAGTTTACAGGCTGCCTTGCCTAGCCGTAAACCTGAACTCCCAGAATGACTCTCCCGAGGCACAAATGTTTGCCATTACCTACATTTTAAAGGTTGGGCCGGCACAGAGCCAGGTTGTACTCTGCGAGGAGTGTCTGTAGATGTGGGGGACACATGCACAGCAGCATCCTTGCTGGTCTCTCTCTTCCACCCAGCAGCCACCAGGACCCTCACTTTCAAAGCCCTCAGTGACCCCACTTCTGTGTCAAGTATACCCTTCACAATGCCACTGGATCAGCCTCTGCTGTCTCTCTGGTCTCTTCTAAATTATTCCTAACCCTCAGAGTGAGTACACTCAAAGGTTGAACACTTCTCCATCCCTGGGCCCATGTCCCTTACCTCCCTCTCCACAGTTCCATGACTGCACTCTGCTCCCTCCCTTACCCTCATCCCACCAGGGTGCAGGCCTGGGTTGTGGCCTTGTCTCTGCCACTGAACCAGTTGTGTGGCCTCAGGCAATTCACTCTCTCTAAAGGTGTTTCCTCATCTGTAAAATGGGATAACAGCACCTACCTCAAAAGGCTATTTTAAGATCAAATAACTATGAACCTGAAAGCACTTTGATAAACTACTATACACAATTCTTTTTTAAGTGCCACCTTCTCTGGGAGATGCTCTCCATAAATGCTTGAGTTAGGGTTAATTGCTCTGTAGGTGGTATTTGTATAGCACAATATCATGCTCACATCTCTAGGTCAGCAATTAGTCCATTCTGTCCCAGTATAGCTTCTGACTTCCTTTAAGCTACAGACAATGCTATATAGTAATAGTTGTCATTAATTAAATCTCTATTATGCACTGGGTGTTGTGCTCAGCACATTATAGTCATTCTCACTCAATCCTTATTTGTCATAGTTAAGATAGCATCATTTTTTTTTTTTTATTTTACAGATGAGGAAACCCAGGCTCAGAGAGGTTCAGATGCTTGCTGTAGGCCACACAGCCTTTATGGCAGAGATGAGAAAGCCCACATTCCCTCCTGGAATCTTTAAGATATTATGACATTCAGTATAGCAGTTCACAAACCCCTATGATTGACCAGAAGCTCTTACCGAGGTGAGCAGCTTGGTAAGCACAAGGCCTTCATGGCTCCAGACCGTGACACATTCCTCATCCATCATGGGGCTCAGTGTGGCATTTCCTGCTCCCTCTTCAGAGCAGGATATGGGTGGCTGGCTGGAGGGCAGGATTCCGGGGCCAGCACTAAAATACAGACAGGTTCCTGGAGTCCTTTCTGTGGTCACCCTGGCTGTGATGAGGATTAGCTCCTCTGCAGAAGATCCTGAATGAGACACAGAAGAGGAGATGGAATACAGGAGGAGCGTGGGGACAGGAGCCATCTATCTTCAGACCTCTGTTTACTTCTAAGACTTCTTATAATACCCCGCATTGATTCTACTCAAAAAAGTACTCTGTCTACTACACCATTTATTTCACTAAGGAAGGAAAACAGTCATGTATCCAAAGGAACACAAATCAAAGAAAATTAGCTTACAATCAATATAACAATCATACCAACACTCACAAGGTTGCAGTGAGAAAGGCAGATACACACTGTGTCATTTTATATAAACTTACTTGTCCTTTTAAAAAAAGCAGTTTTCTAATAGGTCCCAAAATCTATTAAAAGGTTTACATCTTATTTTAAACAGTGGGGAAAGGATGACCTGTTCATAATGGCCTTAGAGTAATTTCTATGTGGGGAAAAAATATAAAGTTAGATCTCACACTATAAAATGGAAATTTTAAAATGAACATGGTGACACACTTCTATAATCTTGGCACCCAGGAGGCTGAGGCAGGAGAACTGCCATGACTTTGGAGATCAGCCTGGATTACATAGTGAGATCTTGTCTCCAAAAAAGAAAAAAAGAAAAAAAGAAAAACAAAAAATCCAGACGTAAAAAAGAATGATATGGAAAAAAAACAAACAAACAATTTAAGCAAGTATTACAAGAAAATATAGAAGTATATTCTACAATTTTAAAGTGAGGAGGGCCCTCCCACAAAATGTAGAAAACCCAAAAGCCTTCCTAAAGGATGAGAGCAATAAATCTAACCTATAAAAGTTAAAGATTTCATATAATAAAAGTTAAAAAAAATAAGTAACGGATTGCCTGAAAACACCTATATTTGATTTAAAAATTTACTATGTAGAATAAAGACCTACAAATCAAGAAGAAAAAGATAATTTAAAAGAAAAAGCAAACCTGGCATAGTGGCACGCATCTGTAATTCTAGCACTCAGGAGGCTGAAGCAGGAGAATCCTTGCAAGTCTGAGACCAGCCTGGGCTACAAAAGGAGCTCAAGGCCAGTCTGAACTACATAGCAACACCTTGTCTCAAAAAAAGACATAAACACATACATATACACATGAATGAGTGAGCTGGGCATGGTGGCACATGCCTGTAATCCCAGCACTTGGGAAGCTCAGGCAGGAGGATCAGTGCATGTTCAAGGCTAACCTGAACTACACAGTAAAACTCTGTCTTAAAAAAGACCAAAATAAATAAATAAATACCAGAGAGAGCGAAAAAAAAATTGAGCAGAAGATACAAATAGGTGAGCCACAGATGACAGAAGAAGAGTCCAGTAAATCCTTAAGAAGAGGCCTTACTGGCAAGCAGAAGGAAGTAAATAATCAGGTAATTCCTTTGCTCATTAAATTGGTAAGAATTTTAAACAATACAGTTGGTACTCTCAATTTTAGATGACAATTTGACGATCTGTCATGATTTTAAATGTGTACAGAAGAGGGACTGAGAGAATGCCCACCAAAGTGGAGTTCTTACACTTACTTTTCATATTTCTATATGGCCTGAGTCTATAACAAAATTAATTTCTACCAGAATAATTTTTAAACTAATTTTATTGGTATACTTTTGACATATATGGTGATCACATTCATCATAGGGAGTTTTATTTCTAAAGTAGAGTTTTTTAAAAAAGGCCCATACTCTGGTTCAATAATACCACTTGTAGAAATTAACCCCGTAGCACGGTGGCACTCATCTATAATTCCAACACTCAGGAGGCTGAGGCAGAACCACCATGAGTTCCACGCCAGCCTGGGATATATAGTGAGCCCAATGTCACTCTTAACTACATAGTGAGACCTCATCTCAAAAAACAAACAAACAAAAGAAATTAATCCTAAAGCCAGGTGTGGTGACACATACCTGTAATCATAGCCACCTGGGAAGCTGAAGCAAGAGGATAGAAGTTTTGAGTTTAGCATATGCAACTCAATGATACTCTGCCTCAAAATAAGATAAAAAGGGGTGGGGACATAGCTAGGTGGTAAAGTGCTTGCCTAGTATGTACAAGACCCTGGGTTCAGTCTAATATATAAAGGTGGGAAGGAGGGGAAATTAATTTTAAAAAAAAGGATTAAAGAGAAAAATGCAAAATACCCCAAGCTACTTACTGTTACTTTAACAGAAATATTAAAAATTAGGAAACAGCCAGGCATGGTGGTGCATACCCATAATCCCAGCACTTGGGAAACTTGAGGCAAAAGGATCACTACAAGTTCAGGGCCAGCCTGGGCTATATAGTGAGTGCAAGACTAACCTGAACCACACAGTGAGACCCTGGGCCAAAAAACAAAATAAAACAAAAACAAAAACAAATTTAGAAACAATAGAGATGTTTACTAAAGAAAGCGTTAACAAACTACTGGAGATTAAATTTACAGCCTTTGCAGTGTGGCACATCCCCGTTCTTTTACTTTTTTTTTTTTTTTTTTGAGATAGGATGTCACTAAGTCACTAATTTGTTCAGGCTGGGTTTCAAATTGTGATCCTCCTACCTTGGCCTTCCTTGTGCTGGGGGTATAGGGATGCGCCACCACACTCAACTTTATCATCTCTTTATTGCAGTCAACTCCTAAGTGGCCTCCTGTGTTTGGACACACTACTGCCAAGATGTCAACCAATAGGGAACGACCCTTTAGAATTTTTCAGTTTTTGAGACAGTCTCACTATGTAGCCCAGATTGGCCTCCAGCTTGTTCCAATCCTCCTGAGTGCTGAGATTACAGGAGTGTGCTACTAGGCCTGGCCAGGATGTGACCTTTTAAAACAGAACAAGAAGAACAACAAAAAAATTCTAACACTTTCCTGTTAAAACTGTTGCCTTTGCCCAAAACAGTAGATAAAGTCCAACTACTCTGATTTGTAACAAGACCTTTCCTGGGTTTCTACTTTCTCTTTGGGACCTATTCTACTACTCATTTAAAAATCCCTTCCCAGGGCTGGGGATTTAGCTCAGCGGCATAAGTGCCTGCCTTGCAAGCACGAGGTCGTGAGTTTGATCCCTGGTACTGATTAAAAAAAAGAAAAGAAAAAAATGTAACTTTTTGGGCCTGGAGATTTAGCTTAGCTGCATAAGCACCTGTCTTGCAAGCAGGCGGTCGTAAGTTTGATCCCCGGTACCAATAAAAAGATTAAAAAAAAAATAATAAAAAAAATAAAAATCCCTTTCCCTGTACTAGCCACACAGAATCCCTGCAAGTTCCTAACAATGTTGCCATTGTGGCACCTGTCTGCATGCTTTACTGTTGCTGTGCCCTCTAACTAGGAGTTTTACAAGGGTAAGCACTCCTCAAGCCTCAGCTTCTATGCTGTATCCTCAGGATAGTCTTTCTCCACTATGCTTCACCAGCCTGTGAGTTTCTACCATATAGGGTGTTCTACTTCACACACTGAAAAGTCCTTACTTCCACTATTTGTATCCTGTGAGATTGTGAGCAGTATGAGGGGATGGTTCCCATCTTACAGATCTTTGTATTCCATGCTCTGGGACATTGTAAGTGCTCAATAATTGTTGCATGGTAACACAATTACAGATGTCCCCCCCCACACACACCAAAAAGAAACTTTGGTGTTAACTTTGTTTCTAACTATTATAAAAAGAATAAGGCTTTTGTTATGTACATGTACTCATTCTGAATGCAATCATTATGTACTGCAAACATGTATTGATTAAAAAAAAAAATACTAGACCTTCTTTGCAGAAGCAGAAATCAATGACCCAATCCTACCTTGTGGAAATTTAAGGAATCTGGAATACTCAACATACTCTTGAGAAAGAAGAACAAAGTCAGAGGACTCACATTTCCTGATTTTAAAACTCACTAAAGAGGGACAGTGATCAAGAGTGTGGTACTAGCGTAAGGACAGACATAGATCCATGGAACACAAACGACAGCCCAGAAATAAACCACACATCTATGATCAATTGATTTGCAAAGGGTGCTAAGACAATTCAGTGGAGGGAAATAGTCTTTTCTAAGAAAGATGCTGGGAAATTAGATGGCCACATGTAAAAGAATGAAATTGGATCCCATCCTTAGACCACATACAAAAATCAGCAAAATGAATCCTAAATGTAAAACTAAAATTCTAAAATTCTCAGGAGAAAATACAGGAATAAATCTTAATGACCGTGGGTTAGGAAGGTCTCAGCTATGATACAAAAAGCACAAGCAATACGACAAAAATAAACTCATTAATATTCAAAACTTGTATATCTGAAAGAATATCATCAACAAAGTAAAAGGACAACCCACAAAAGGGGAGAAAAGATCTTCCAACTATAAATCAGGTAAAGGATTTGCATAATATATAAAGAGCTCTTATAGCTCAATAATTAAAACACAGTACCAGGTATTATTGTGCACACCTGTAATCCCAGCTACATGATGGGACACTTTTGGAGGCTGAGCAGGAGGACTGAAAGTTTAAACCCGGCCCAGGCAATTTAGTGATTTAGCAAGATTCTATCTCAAAATAAAAAAATAAAAAGGGAAACAGTTCAGTGTTAAGACCCTGCATTCACTCTCCAGTACTGCAAAACAAACAAAAAACTAAAAAGTGGAAACAACCCCAATGTTGAATAATGAACAAATACATTAAAATGTGGAATATTCACGTAAGCCAGGCACAACGACACATGCCTACTGACCTCAGGGGGCTGAAGCAAGAGGATGCCAAGTTCAAGGCCAGTCTGGCAACTTAGCAAGACCTTGACTCTAAATAAAAAGGGCTCAGACAAGGAATAAAGCTCAGTGGCATAAGCACCTGCTTGGCAAGTGCAAGGTCCTGAGTTTGATGCCCAGTACCGAAGAGAAGAAGAAAAAAAAAAAACAAAAAAACTGGCCGTGCAGTTCAGTGACAGAGCACTTGCCTACTATAGGTTCAATCCCTAGCACCACTAAAAAACAAAAAAGATACTGGGGATTTAGCTCAAGTGTTTGCCTGGTAAGCACGAGGTCATGAGTTCAATTCCTGACTCTATTGGCCTTAGATATACTTTCAATTTGTCTCAACTCAGCCCATGGCTTATTAAAACCATTTTACTGTGAACAGATGAATGAAAGGAAAACCAATGCTAAGTTAAAAAACAAACCAAAAAATGCTACTTTAATTAAACAGAATATGCTAGGGGTGGTGGCAAAGGCCTGTGATCCCAGCACTTGTGAGGTTGAGACAGGAAGATCACTGCAAGCCTAAGGCCAACCTGGGCTACATAGTGAGTTCAAGGCCAGCTTGGACTATTTTGGGACAGTCTCAACACTTTGCCAAATAAATAAATAAAGAGAAGATACTTCTATGATATCCCTGAGGAAAAAGAGGGTGCCTCTGAGAGGCAATGGCTTATAAAGATTAAAAAGAACCCAGAGTCAAATATAGCTCATCTCATCAAACTGCCAAGGAGCAAAGTAAAGAACCTGAGAACTGAAGCAGGTGGAGAAAATATAGAGAACCTACACAGTGGCACAAGCACTTGCCTGGCAAGCACAGGGTTCTGAATTCGATTTCTGGTATCCCTTCCTCAAAAAAACCTGCACTGTGGGCATGGCCACTGAAAATATCTAGTTCTTATTATAGCAGAAGTGACTAAGGCACAGGGATTGCCCCAGGTGACCAGGTGGCAAAGTCAGAGGCTGATGCTGGACCCATAGTCCTCCCTCATCTCACCTTTCAATCCCATCTGACTACCTGGGATCTTGGCTTGGAATGTTTTAGTCTTGTTCCGGTCTGGACCATCTTCAAATTTCAAGGTGGTCAGCAACCCCACGATGTGAGAGATATGAGACCCTTGCGACTTCTCTGTGACTGTCGCATTCACAGGGCACAAAGTCAGCTGGCCAAAAGACCTCAAGAAGGAGACCCAGTCCTGTGTGCAAAAGGAGGATGGGAGAGAGGTGAGAGGCAAGACATGTCACGGGCAGGGCTCCATGGGAAGCATGAGCAGGAGGGCACTTACCTGAGGGATGTCAGGGCTGCGCAGACCAGTCCTATGGGTGAGAAGGAAGCCTCCCAGGCCCAGGCCTGAGAGGCCAAGGAGCAGCAAGATCAGATTGGCACAGACCAGAGGTGGGTGGTGGGCCAGACAGAGATGCAGGTTGTGCCAGGCCTGGCAGCAGCCCATGAGGAGCAGAGGGATCTGGGCCTTCTCGGAGAGCCTGCTGGGAAGGGAAGAGAGGGAAGACTGGGTGAGAGCCTGTTGGTCAGAAGACGCTCCTCCATGTTACACAAAGTGGGCAAAAGCTCTGGGGAGGCAAGGGACTTGCCCAAGGTATGCTGGCATTTAGTGGCAGAGCTCAGACAAGAACCCAAAGTTCTTGACTTCCAAAGTTCACCTCCGTGTCCACTATGTAAATGTTTGTTGTATTTCATTTCTGAAATAACCTGGGCTAAGCAGAGCACAGCATTCTGTGCTCCTACAAGGAAACTGAAAGGGAGAATTCTCTGCCTGACAAAGAGAAAGCTGCACAAAGAAAGTGTCTCAGTAAGACTCCACTTTGGAAAGACAAGGCTAAATGGATCGGAGTCCCTTGCTACTCATTAGCTATGCGAGAACAGGTCAGTTAACTGCTGTGAGTTTAGGCATCTGTGAAATAGGAGTTCTCAGAACACCAAGTCATGAGTATTACTTGTGGTCCACAGCTGTCGGCATGGTACCTGGCCACGCAGGAACTCAACAGATGTCATTTCCTTTCTCTTGTGCATAGCGATCCTCAAAACCAGAAGGAGAGAAAAACACTGGGGTAAACTGAAGTTCTGGGACCTTAACACAGAAGTGATCTAACCGCGGTCTGAAACCTGCCTCCTGCGTCTCAGGAGAGCACTCTATCCCATGCAACAAGCGACAGCTTGACGAAAAAGAACATCTGGAAGGCGAGAGATAAACAGATGGGATTGGGGAAGAAGACAGGAGTCACGGAAATGCCCAGCCTTTGCCCTGCCTCCGGTCCTGGGATTCCTGGAAGGTCAAACACAGGAGAGGGAAGGACCGAGCCTGAGTGTCAGCAGCGGGTGGTGCACCTGGGTCTCCTCCCTTCCCCGAAGCGCCCTCCTGAAGGATCGGGACTCCCACATCCCTTCCCGATCTAGCGGCTCACGGCGGCCGGCCGCTCACTCTCACCGCTCGGAGCCGGGCGGAGGCCCCTGCTACGTCACGCGCGGAGCTGCGAGGGGCGGGGTCTTGCGCGGAGCACCCCTCTCCCCCGCCCTCCCCACTTCAGGTGCTCGCATGCGCACTGGCCGTGGCGCTGCTAGGCGTCCAGGCGAGGGCGTACCAAGAGGGAAGCAGCTTAGGGGCAAGAGAGGCTGGGATCACGTTGTGCTGGCGAGGGACTGGGAGCGTGGCGCGCGGTTAGTGTTGGAGGCGTGGCAGGACGCCCAGACCCCTCCTCAGCGAGACCCGGGGAGGGGGGTTCTGTGGGAATCTCTTCGCAGGCATTTTCCTGTGACTCGTCCCCCACCCGCGCTGGTAGCACGGCCCGGCCAGGCTCAGGTTCCGGGGAAGAACTTGAGTCTCTTTGGTGGGGTAGGGCGTACACTTGAGGACTCTGGTCTTCCGGGCTTTGTCCCCAGAATGTTTATTGTCTACTTTATGCGTGGCTCCTGGCTCTAAGCAATTCCTTAAAGCGTAGGAGCTTGGAGCTGCCAAGATGCTCTACAGAGAACACCTAATGTCATTTCTGCCCGCATTGTAGAGATTAGAAGGTCTTACCTGAAATAGCATGACACATGAGGCCCTAAACTCTGGTTTCAAGTCCTGACTGTGCCCCAGAAAAAATCATAACCGTGTTCTGGCTAGTAAGATCGGCCCCCTGATAAAGGCAGCCGTGGTTCCATGAGAAGCTTAAGCGGCAACATGTGGGAAAATATGAGCGCATTGCCCACTGAGCATGCAGCGACACCGAATACTACTCAAAACAGAATCTGAGTATTTAACTCAAGGGTGGCTTCTTTAAAGCAGAGATGATGTCATGTTGGTACCACTATTTACAAAAGTTTATGGCACAAAATCTTGACACACCTTAGCCAAATGATTTTTGCCAAGGATGTCACAACCGCTCAAGAACCCCCCCCCCATGCACTAAATGACACAAGGCCAGACACAGTGCGCACAGCTGCAATCCCAGCACTCAGGAGGGTGAGGCAGGAGGATTACCATGAGTTTGAGGCCAGCCTGGGCCACATAATGAGTTCTAGACCATCCTCAACATAGCAAGACCCTGTCTCAAAAAAAAAAAAAAAAAAAAAAAAAAAAGAAATCCAAAAGACACAATGGCGTGAAAAGGCAACCCACAGAATGGGAGGGAATATTTGAAAATCAAGTGTCTGACAGGTGTTTGATCTCTAGAACATATGATGAACTCAACAACAACAAAACATAAGCTATCCAAACATAAGTAGGCAAGGACTTGAATAGATATTTTTCCCAAAAGGATATTCAGTGATCAACAACCACAGGAAAACATGACCAACATTACTAATCATTAGGAAAATGCAAATCAAAATGAGGTTCTGTCTCATTAAAATGGCTATGATCAAGAAAATAAGTATTGATAAATATGGAAAAAATGGAAATCTTACATGCTTTTGGAGTTAATGTAAAATGATTCAGTTGCTATAGCAAATAGTATAGTAATTCCTAAAAAAGTTAAATATAGAAATACATATGATCCAGTAATTTTACTTCTGGATATACCCAAGAGAATTGAAAGCAGGATATCAAATAGTGATTTCTACATCCATATTGATAGCAGCATTATTCACAAGTGACAAAGGGAGCTGGGCATGGTGATGCACACCTGTAATCCAGCACTCAGGAGGCTGAGGCAGGAGAACTGCTGCAAGTTCCAGGTCAGCATGGGCTCCATAGTATGTTCAGCGCCAGCCTGAATGACACCTAGTGAGACCCTGTCTCAAAAAACAAAACAAGGGGCTGAGGATTTAGCTCAGCGGCATAAGTGCCTGCCTTGCAAGCAGGCAGTTGTGAGTTCGATCCCTGGTACTGATAAAAATGAAAAAGACCAAAAAAAACCAAAACAACAACAACAAAAAAAAACAAGTGGCAAAGGTAGTAGCCTCCCATGTAAGTGTCCATTGACAGATCATTTTTGGTTGTGGTTTTTGTGTTGTGTTGTTTTTTGAGACAAGGTCTCACGATGCAGTTCAGGCAGGCCTTGAATTCACAGAAATCCTCTGCCTCAGCCTGCCAAATTCTGGGATTATACACCTGCACCACTATGCCCAGCTAGAATTTCCTTCTTCATCTTTGTCTTCATCTTCATCTTCATTTTCATCTTCATCTTCTTTTTTTGGTACTGGGAATCAAATTTAGGGCCTGTGCTTACCAGGCAGTCACTGTGCCACTGAACTATATCCCCAGCCCAAATTTCCTTACTTTTTAAAGGTTGAATAATATTCCATCATATGTTGTATGTACTTCATTTTCTTTAAAACATTTATCTAGCCAGGTATGGCCTGAGAGTTTGAGGCCTGTCTGATCTACATAGTGAGTTCAAGGCCAGCCTAAACTACATAAGAAGACCCTGTCTCAACGAACAAAGATATAAAAAGGCATTTTTATTACTTACATACATTAACTATCTTATATATTTTATGTGCAAAGCCAGAGTAAATCTTATCCACTCATTGTGGCCCAAGAGAGCCAAAAGTTTGGATACCCATGGTTTATGAATACCAAGTTTTAATTCTGCAAGACGAAAATGTTTTGGAAATGGATGATTGCATGTCACCACCAACAAGGTGAATATACTTAATACTACTGAACAGTACACTGAAAATGGAAAGATGATAATGTTATGTGTATTTTATTACAATTAAAAATAATGTTGAAGAAACCATTGTGGGAAAGGTTTATCATATAGTCTCCTAGGTGACAAAATAAGACCCGTAAGCAAAAAGTTTTTTTAGGGGGTAAATTTCCTTGTGAATTTAATCAATTTTTAGTCTCTTTTAAAAATTGGGCTGGGTATGGTGGTGCATGCCTATAATCCCAACACTCAGAAGATTGAGGCAGGAAGATAACTGCAAATTCAAGGCCAGTGTAGGCTACAAAGTGAGTTCAAGTCTACCCTGAACTGTGTAGTGAAACCCTGTCTAAAAAAGACAAAAAGTAAAATAAAGTTTGGAACGTATCTGCTTAAACATTTAAGCAAGTTAAAACCAAAACAAATTGTGGTGGTCCATGCCTTAAATCCCACCACTCTGGGAGACTTGAGGCAGGAGGATTACAAATTGGAGCCCAGCCAATTTAGTGAGTTAGTGAGACCTTGTCTCAAAAACAAAAACAAAACAAACAAACAAACAACAAAAAAAAACAAACCCCAATAGCAACAACAACAAAAACCCAACATCAAGTTGATCCAGTCAACAATTTTTAAATGGCTGCTAAAATGCACATACAAAGCTACTATCAATGAAGCAAAACCTTTATCAATGCTTCGTCCAATTTCTAGAGTGAGATAAGGCATGAAAGGGCCTAGTGTCATGCTGCTACAACAAATATGAATATTCTCTCACTCTTCTCATTTTGCAGAGTAGGCATGCATATTTGGATAGCAATTCTCACAAAGAATCACAGCTGCCATTTACTTATTCAGTCAAACCAAGCAAATTGTATGAACCAGTTGAGGCAAACCAGTTAGAGCAAGGAACTTCCCGAAGTCTTGAGAATCGGGGTAAATAGATGCGAACAAACGTCTTACAGGGAAAAAAGAAAAAGCATGTGTGAAGAGGAAACTTTAGTACTCCAACATACACTGACATTTTAAAAATAATTCACTCGGTGGCTCTCAAGGTGAATGTTGCTGTGGAAACGGCTCCTTAGGCAGCCTAAATAATTCAGCCAAGGTCACATGGGTGGTAGGTGGCAGAAGCAGGGTTATGATTCAAGCCTAACACAGCCCAAAATCAGAAAGAAAAGAGAAAATCAGAAAGTCGGCTGAGAATCAATTCCATTTCCCTGAAAGAAATGGAGGGAGAGTTCCTTCCATAGTAATAAATCCCCCTTAAAGCTTTGGCATAACTAAAGCTTCTTGCAAAAATCCGTTTGATTTTCTCCTTTTAGATTACTGAATCAAACCTTTTTTGGCTTACCAACCTCTACGAGAGTCTGATAAAAGCTTTTTATTCAGTCAGTTGTTCATTTAATAAACATCTGTTGGTTGCCAGGCAGTATTTGGTGAACAAACTATTTATGGTCGTTGGCCTCCTAAAACTATATTCTGACTATGAACTCTGTCTAGAAAAATACACGTTCCGCTGGGTATGGTAACACATGCCTGTAACCCCAGATACTTGGACAGGAAGCAGAGACAGGAAGATCACAAGTTTGAGGCCAGCTTGGACAATTTAGTGAGATCCTATCTCAAAATAAAATAAAAAGGGCTGGGAATGTAGCTCAGTGGTAGAGCACTTGTTTACAATGCATGAGGCCCTGGCTTCAGTCTGTAATACCATACAACACACACACACACACACACACACACACACACACACACACACACTCAGAAGGAAAACAAAAGAGAGAAACATGATTATTCACTTAAACTTTTATGTGCAATTTCAGTCACTGGACCCTCTATTGTCTTGGAATCCCTACTTCAACAAAACCCAACATAGATATTAAATGTCCACATCTCTCTCTGAGGTTCTATTTTATTTTATTTTATTTTTTGTACTACTGGAGATTGAACCCATGGCCTTTACACCGAGCTATATCTCTAGCCCTTTGTATTTTTAGACAAAGTCTTGTTAAGTCTCTAATTTGCCCAGGATGGGTTCAATCTTGTAATCTTTCTGCCTCAGCCTCTTAGAGTGCTGGGATTACAAGTCTGGACCACTACAACAGGCTTATCCTAGTAATTACCTTAATTTTAAATGCCAAGCCTCTAGTTAGGTACTGAGGGAAACCATATTTTCTACCACTGATGTGTTAAGAGACATATGAAATGTATAACAATCATATCAGGATAGCTGGTATGTTTTTATTTCATGTATATCATTTCTTGGGGAATGTTCAAAATCTTGTCTCCTAGCCATCTTGAAATATACAACTAATTATTGTCAACCATAGTTATCCTAC